TCAGGGCTGGGGCGCGGGGGACGCGTTCCGGGGTCCCTGGCAGGGGCGGGAGCGGCTCCCGAGGCCGGGCTGTACCCGGGCTGTGCCCGGCAGGGGCAGTGCCCAGTGTGGCGCCCAGGGTCGCTGGAGCGGTGGGCTGTGCTTGGAGTCACTGGGGTTGCGTTTCTCTGCATGTCAAGTGACACACCCACAATAAAGTGCCTGCTAAGCCCAGCGCGCGGTGGACTTAAAAAGAAGCTGTAAGTGAGTTTGGTGTTTTGGGAGAAGGCTGCTTGTGTGAGGACATTCTGTGTGCTTACGTTGTGCGTAAATTTTTTTTCCTCCACCTTTTTGACAGTCCTTCGTGGCCTCTGGGGAGCAGCTGGGATTTCCCTGAGTGGGGACTCGGGTTTTGGTGACTCCGCTTGTTGGAGCGGGCGGGGTGTTGAGGGTTTGCTGTTTCGTGAGACTCTGAAATCTCATTTATTTCTTAAGCATACTTCAAAGATCTAACGTTGTTTGTCAGCGAAATTGACACAGGTGTATTTTCCAGTTATTGGTGTTGTCTACAAAAAACTGACTTGAGAAACCTTTTAAGTGTGAGTCACCAGATCTTCTCTGTATTCTTAGCAGTATCTGCCTCTTCCATGATAGAGATAATGCTAAATTTCAAACCCGGTACAGGCTGACAAAGCTAATTGTAACTCCTTTTGTGGGGAATATCACTATGCCCTAATTTCCTCCCTGATATGTTTTACTGTAATTCATCCCCTTGTGAATTTGTGCCACTGTGAACAGTGTGTGAGAAATGCCCTCAGAGGGAGCTTTTTCAGACAGTGTATTTTGATTGCTGTATGCTATGCAGTTATCTAAAGTCTTCTTATAAAACCTCTGCAACGTTTTTCAGAAAACCCAAAAGAGGTTGATGGTGAAGCATTCAACTGTAGGTATTTTCTGTTAGGTATAACTGACACCCTGCATACAGTGCTCATGATGGTTATCATGTCTGCCTGTGCTAGCAGTTTGTGTGGCTACTTGCTCTCTTTGTAGAGAGGAGCCGGGGGCAACAATGGCCATAGATTTCCCTTTACTTGAGAAAAGTGCTTCCCAAGTGGAAGCAGGGGGAAGGAAATAGACCTCTGGCATTAAAGTACACTAACCCATGTGTTGGAACCAGGAGTGCTGGATTTGGGGAGCAGCCTATAAAGTGGTGGGGGTGGAGTTGTGTTAAGGCTAAAGCTGAGGCATAGAGAACTGCTTGTGTGGTTTGAGGATTTAGATCTTGCTCCCACTGTACACTAACATTAAACTTCCACATTTCTCCTTCAGCTGACTGTTAAATGTGTGATACAGTGCTGTTACAGTGGGAATTTTTGTGGTGGTCACTTAATGCTTATGAAGTGATGCCTACATGTTATTTACAAGTTCATGACAAGATATCTGTACGTATACATAAATATACAGGATTTAACTCTCCTGTCTGGGGAATGGGTCAGCAATATTTATATGACTGTAAGATCTGTTAACTGTGTATATACTTGTACACCTCTGTAGAAGCATATTTCTTTTAAGACAAAAAATAATAATCTTTATTTGTGGTTGCACACAAGCACTTATGTTAATGAAACCTGGATGGTTAAACCATGAAGTTGATTTTCCAAGTGGTGTATGTGCCAGTGGTTTGCCTGGGTTACAACAATGATTAGACAAAATCATGGGACAAAATTGTACCATGGGAATTATTTTAAACACAAATGTAAAACTTCATGTATTTCTGGGCTGCTTTTGGAAGGAAGCTGGATAAACATCACTGTGTATTTACCCTACTGCTGGATTTTCCCCTGAGCTTTGTTATTAACTATTGTTGGATACAGGATGTTGGGCTGGCTGGGGCATTGGTCTGTCCCTATAGAGCTGTCCTTGTGTTCTTTTGTTGGGTTCCAGCATGCTCTGAGTACGTGTCATCAGTATCTCTAGAACAAACTCAGTTTATCTCAAAGAACTAAATGTGCTGCTTTCGCAAAACTGCTGTGGCTTCTTTACATCTTTGAGCTGAGAGGAAATGGTTGAGTGATGATGAAATCTAGTTTTCTGTTTTGTTTTTTTTCATTTGCTGCTAAGATGCTTCAGACATTGTAACTGAAACATCTTATAATTGTTCTCGGATCCAAAGCTCAAAAATATTTGGTAAACATGAGGCAACTTCATTTGGAACTTGGTCTGAAGTGTCATCACTTGAAAATTGAATGGAAAAATAAATCTGCTTTAGATTAAAGTATTAATATATTGAGCCATATGAGCAGCTTAACTTCTCAGTGTTGTTTGTATCAGCAGGATGCTTTATTCAGCTTCAAACGCCAAGGAGATGTGGATTTACTTTGCCTTTGTCCTTTATACCTTTGTGAGGCAGAATAAATCTGTGCTTTAAGAGTTGTACTGTTCTTTTGAAGTCACTCTCTAGCCTGTTACAGTCTCCTCATAAAAGCTGTAAACAGTTGAAATACCACAGCCAAGAAGGTCCATCTTGAGGAGTTTACTTGCATGGTGTGGTGAAGAAGATACAGCTGGTAGGAGTCATGTGCTAATATAATGCAGCCTGTCTTTAAATAAATACTGAAGGGAAAAATCGTGACCACCCTTCCCCCTCCTTCACCCCAAACTACAGAAGTTTTCTTCTATTCAGTTGGGTATGTTATGTCTGTAGTCTTATATATGTATACTCTTGTTAGGTAGGGGCTAAGTTAATTGTCATTTTGTCCTTTTGCTTATGAATGTTTGGGATTGGTCACTGCTATAAAGAGTGTGCTGTGTGCATGAGAGCATTATCCTGTGGACGTGGCTATTCACTGTCCGTTATTATCTGTCTGTTTGAAGGTTTGTAATGGCCAGCTGAATATCTTCAAGCTTTCTGTAGGATAGGAGGTAGATCTCTGAAGTGCTGGGAGCTCTCTCTTTTTGTCTTTCACCACATGATTAATGCCAAATTTTACTTTTCTGGTGATTTTTGCTGCCCAAAGCATACCACTGTAGACTAACAATAATAATTTTATTTTATATGCTGTCTTATAAGCCTTTAAACCAAATTGATTTACTTTAAGATGTCTGCATGACAGACTTGTATAATGCAAATTCAGTCTGGTGATTATGGAAGAAGGTGACTAATGTATTTTTAAAGCACTGCTGGCATGTGCTTAAATATCAAGTGTTCTCTAGATGTGTGTGGTTGTTAGTTCAGTGCTTTTGGACATATTCAGATGAATGTGGTGGGAGGGTGTATGTGTTTTGTATCTGTGTATGCAATGACAAATCAAGCAAATTGTCTCATATAAAAGGCTAAGCTGTACTCCTGGAGCAACACGCTGGAAATTTTCTGCAGTGAGTAATAAAGTGATAAGGAGGCAAGGATTTCTTGAGAACTTTGCTATTATCTTGCAACAGCATTAGAACTTGTAACACTAAATTTTTAAGACCTAAAGGCAATACCTGCAGCAATCTCCTGACAGAAGGCTAAAATGAACTTTTATAACCTTTTCAGGTCACCTTGTAATGGAAGAAGGTGGAGCTGACCATGATATTGCTATGGAAGGATCTAATGATTTGTTCATAGGCAGCTGTAATGGTACAGGAGAGTCAGAACCAAATTATCAGGTTTTTCAGGTGAGATATGAATGCTTTGTCCTTGTAGATGCTTCCTTTACATCCACTCTGATGAGCTTAAAATATGCTATTTCATCAGTGCAGGGTTCTTTTGTTGCCTTTAGAGTAATACATTGTGTATTTATACATTTAAGAATGTACATCCTTCCCTTGGATTCCTGTGCCCTTCAGTTTTGAGCTGATAACTATCCAGATGTTACATGTAATGACAACCTTCAGTAATTATGTCCTGCTACAGTGCTGAAGAAAAGCATGTTTTATTTTGTTAACCCTTTAAAAAAAAGAATACTTTATGATGTTTTGAAATAGGAGAGGTTTAAAACAGGTGAAAATCAGATGGCATTATTAGTGACCAAATGTGACAAATAAAGAGTCCAGGGTCATAAGACACATGTGTATGTAGTGAGGGAGGGGAGTCTTTCGTGTCTGTTTTTATCAGATCTTGCCAGATCTTATCTGGGGAGATTTCTGTGCATGAATGCTTCTTTGTTTAAGTGTTATTCAGGTAGTGATTTACTTGTATGCACATGGTCTCTGCACAATGTCTTTAACAAAACAGGTGCCATTTGTTTGTTGCTGCTTTTCTGGTAGTTCACACTAGACAGTTTCAACACAGAAGATTTATACCTGCAGAATTTTTAATGAGGTTATTTAGATCAAATCTGACTTTTATATAAAATTTAGAAACTCATTCTTTGATTTGTAGTATATTAATTTTTGTTGCAAAAACATTGGAGTTGTTTGTGCAGTTGCTGCGAGATACACCAAATTGCAGCCCTTCTTGCATTGGTCAAGTGACAGCTTGACACGTTATTGTACACAAGGACTGCCTGTTTTTTCCATTATTTTTATATACTTAATGTTTGTGTTGTTGGAGTTTCAACAAGCTTCAACAAATATTTGTGCCTATGCACTTAAATTTAATGAAAACAAGATGTACTCTAAGACTTCAGTTCTGCAAATTTGATAAAGATACATTGTTTTTTTAAGATTTTGTAAATCTGATCTTTGCCTTGTGCTGCACAGTTCTTGGCTTTGAACTGAAGGTTGTGTTGCTTGTGTTTCTTCTCTGGTAAAGAATTTTAAAAGTGTTTAGTGATTTTTTTCTTCATAGCTAAATGCATGTATGGAAAGGCCAAGTGGAATAGTATCTAAGATTTCTTCTGAAGTCAAATCAAGTTGGTGAATATTTTACAGTTTTGTTTTTGGTATAAGTCTTCTCAGTTTCTGGGCAGACTTGAGATGTTTTAAAGTGCTAAGTAGTTTTGGGGAGCAGGTTTTGAGCAAAGGGGATTTTCTTTTGCCTTAGTAGAGAGACTTCATTCTAAGAAGTGGAAGATGAATACTTTTTCAGCATGAAAATAGAAAACGAAAGTAGAACTGCTAGTGTTAGCCTCTTGATCCAGAAGGACAAGAGCTCCTCTAAGTATACAATATAGCACTGGTTTTAAATGTTCTTTTCTCTCTCTTTTTTTTATTTGTTGTTTTTGTTTTCTTTTCTTTTCTTCGTAGAAGTTGCTACTCAAAGTACATTTTACGGTTTTTCCTCTGTGAAAGCAACTAATGTGCATGGATTCCAGGGATCCATTGTTTGGCCAGAGCGACTCTCCCCCAGCCCTGCCCATCACAGTCCCTCTCTCGGGCAGTCCTCCAGCATCGGCTGTACCGACGCGGCCGCCCCAGCCACACTCCCACTCTGCAGAGGAGTTGCACCTGGCAGAGCAGCCCAGGCAGCCCCTGTGTGAGCTGCAGCCCCTGGGAGGGCCCAGTGCACCCATGGTGAGTGTGTCTGCAGACGGGGCTGGGGCTGTGCTCACAGGTGAGGGAGCTCTGTGAAGAACTCTCTTACATGCGGTTTGTTGTAGCAACAGCTGATTCAGACTTTATCTCTAGCAACAAGGTGGAACTTTTCAGTGGTACAGTTCATGCTCCAGTTGCCCTTCTTCAGGTAGGCAAATCCTGTCTGCAGCCATTACTAATTTTATTAAACAACAACTGATGTCTTCTGTCAGTATCTAGCATGGATACTGTAGTGTGATAAGATCTTGTATTTCTACTGCTGCTGCTTTCTCTATATTCCCTGGATAAATCTCTCTGTGTTTTTTGGGAGGAATCAGAACATTAGTAGTAAGCTAAATCATTATGTCTCACCTTTTTCCCAGCCCTCAATTAATTTTCTTAAAATGTTGCTTTGTCATTTGTAACATCTATTTAGTAAAAAAAGTAACCCAGAGTCCTTTGTAATTATGGAAAAGTAGACCATAAAGAGTTGTTCAAGTTTTTCAGAATCCCAGGTGATTTAACTTGTATTGTTTTTTTAAGCCCTGGACCTTTTCTTCTCTCTGCTTTTGCATGAAATGCTGCCCACAGAGGTCAGTTTCTTAGAAGTCAAGGTCACAATTTTCCTGTTACTATTAGTTCTGCTAGTCATTAATGGAGTTACAGTGATTCCAGCTATGAATGGCTTTCAGGTGTTTGAGAGCTTTAATAATAGAGTTGTCAGTTTCAAATAAATGTGTCATTCATTGTAGAATCAGGTAAAGTAGTGGGTTGTTTTTGGTTTTTTTTTCCTTAATTAAAGGCCTATTTTAAAAGGGGAAAGTAATTTTAAGAACTTGACAATAAAGTGACAGTTTTCTTATTATGTAAAGTCAAGTAAATATACAGGCCCTAACTCTAAGCAGAAGATTTCTTGTTCTGGTAATAATCAAACCCAGTTGTGCTGCATGATCACCATACAAACTGGAGCCATTCATGCTTCTGTGTGACTGCCTTACAGATGATTGTTGCCAGCCAATCAGAAAATGGACAGGTGCTGCATGTCATTCCTTCTACCCAGCCAGGAGTGACCCAAGTGATTATTCCTCCAGGTCAGCTTCTGGATGTGACCAGCACTCAGGGTGAGTTTAACCTGTGGGACTTGAGGGTTTGTGCTCCTGTGACTAAGCTCATCCTCCATGGTCTTTTTTAAGCACCTTGTTTCCTTTCCTTAATCAGTTATAAGACAAAATATGCACTGAATCTGCTTTCTGATTGTGAGTCTGGTGCCTCACACAACACATTTTCTGTTGGGCAAAAACCTTATGAAAACTTATGAGAGCTATTATGCTCCCTTTCTGAAGGGTATGTGATGAGTAGATTGACATACCAAGAGTTTTTTCTTACCTTATTTACCTTTGATAAGGGTATTTGTGCCATCAGCTGTACTATCAGCTCCAAATTTTCAGTATTTTTTTACTTCACTGTAAATGAAGTAGTTAATTCCTGTAGTGTAGACAGGCCAGAAGAACATTAAATCCTCTGTTCCAGAGATCACTGATGATGATGTATCTTTTGTAAAGCCAGGAATGAATCACTTATGTAGAAATTCAGTTCCCAGGCAAGGAAAATAAGATGTAACTTTCCATTCACTGGAATGTGTTAGTTGTCACATTTTAAGCATGTGCTGAGATACACAAGTAGAAGCATGAATTTTAAGCTTTTCTCTAGAAAATGGACATACTGAAACCTGAAAGCACTGATTATTTATCTGCAATCCTTGCTGGATGGCAAAACGCTGTGTACCAGTTTGCATTAACAGAGTGAGACTGAGAATGAGCTAGTCACATTTTGTTAAACTCTCAGATGTTTTTTAAATTGTTTTTTCATTCTCTCTGTAAAATTCTCAAGGTGTGAGCACTGGTTAAGTGTTCCTGTGGAATGACAGCTCAGAGGAAGAATAGAGTCCTGGTGCTGGGTGGATAGAAGAAAGATTTAGGATTCAAGTAATGATCTAGCCTGTTTCACTTAAGGTTACAATATGGTTTCCTCACCTTGCATTGAAAGACTTGTTTCTACCCTAATGATCAACCTTTCCTCCCTCCCCAGCTCTTGCAGGGGTAAAATCAGGTTTGGCGACAGCAGAGTCTTAGATTACTTTAAAACCGACTGGCTATTTAGTTAGAAAATAATTGCTTCTATTCTTTGTATGCACTAAGTTGAAACAGTAAATAGTAGTTTTGTATTTACATTTTTCATTCAACATGGGGCTCAGCGTCATAGTATTTGAATATATGTTTTACAACAGTGCTGCAGGTGTCATTTGTGGGGGTTTCTTTGTTTTGTTTTTTTCTAGAGACTTAGTGTGTAAAAGACTCTGTAGAGATTTGGTCTTTAAAAGACAGTTGAGGAGACTTGTCAGCAGTTTACTGTGGAGGTGAAAGAGAAAGGAGAATGGCCTGTCAGCTCCTGAGTTTCACTTGTCTGTACATGGTGGTAATGTGTGGAATGGTGCAGACTTCAGAGTAGCCTGTACTGTCTTAAGGGCACATTTCTGTAGGAGGAACCAATGATTTGAGCCAGAGTGGTGTTAATCCAAGTGCACACTTATGAATCTTCTTATGGAGCTTTGTGTGGATCCATTTCTGTACTGTGTCAATAGCTTACCACTCTCTCTGGGTGAGGGAAAGAAGCTTTCATAACTGAAGGGCAAAAGTCCCTCATCTGAAGAGACCTCGCATGTTTATGTTGAGACCAAAATATTGAACGTCTGCTTTCAGTTTTCCATTATGTTTTTGTTTAACTGTACACACAGACTTCAATCTAAGAGCAATTTTTGGCTTGTGGATTGCTCCCTATTACCAAGAAAGGCTAAAACATTTGTTCTAACAGCATGTCAGATTCAATTACAAGAGGCCTGTTTTTCTTGTTTAAGTGTTCTTTCTAAGTACAAAGCAGTACAACAGTACAAAGCAGTATCATTACCTCATCTCTTCTCATTTTAAAAGTAACCAGTATGTGACTTGCAGCTGAACAAAACATTTGTGCAATCCTAGATGGATTCCTGGAAGCAGAGTAACTTGCAAGTTGTTCTGATTATTTGCCTGGTTGTGGAAGGATTCATAAGCAGTAGCACAATTACCAAAGTCCTTAAATAGAAGCAGCCTTATCAAGTGTACCTTCATATGTGTGCCAGGAGTTTGAGCACTGATTCACAACTATTAGACGACTTTGTAATCTATAAAACTTCTTTCCTATGTCAAAAGGCTTGCTTTAGCAGCATACAAAGTTTTATCATAGCTTTTTTTTCTCCATTCTACATTAAGTTATAAACTAATAAGCTGCTTTTTTTTTTTTGTAAAGATATTTTGGAAGAAAAGCGGAGTGATGGGAACCTGCAGACTGTGGTGGTGGCTTCTCTAGCAGACAGTGCAAGCAGTTACATTCTACATCCACAGGCATCTCTCACCATATCGAAAAAAGCAGCCACCAGGTAGGTCAGGGGTTAAATGGATGAGCAGTCACTTCAATCCACTGTTAGCACTGCCTTTTTTTCTTGCAGTTTGTTTTTGCAATGGTTATCACAAAATTACCATGGAATAGAGGCTATGAATGCACACTGCACTGAATGTTTGGAGGACTTGAATGTAGAAACCAGTGGGGCTTTATTCACTGTAAATTATTTTAACAATGAAATAGAACATGAAGAAAATTAACCACAGGTTTTTAAGGCATGTTGATACAATACCCATAGTTTGATCATATGCTCTAGGGTTATACATAATACACTGATTTGATCTTACCTGTAGTTCAGACTAAGTTGTTGCTTTTCTGAATGTCTGTATAGACTTCTATTAAATTTTTTTTTTTCAGGGTAGTGGAAGACTCTTTTCCCATCCCTCTTCAGCCATTGCCACTAAATACGCCTGCATGGGCGCGCCGTCTCAGGAACTGTGAGGTAGGCCACAAAGAATTCTGACTTAATGCTTTATCATCTTGCTCCGAGATAGCGTTCCTGTTCCTTGAAAGAAATAATTCATAGCTGTAGAAGCATTCAAGCTTCCTGGTATATAGCACTGGTACTGCTATCACAGTTAAACACATGAAATGCTGTGAAATCCCTTTCTATTTTGAGAATTTTAGAATACCTGACCATCAACAGCTCCTGAAGTAAAAGAAGTGCTGCTGAAAACTTGCTACCTTGTAGTGCTGGGAAGAGCCATTGTTGTGCCATGTTGGACTTTGCTGTTGAACAACAACGCAAACTTTGTTGACTTCTGCAACTGTTCATGTGGTTTATGTTACCACATAGAAATCAAAATGCATGTGATTGGCCACTGTCAAGTCTGGGACTTTACGCTCCCTAATATCAATAAGGATTCCTGTTTTGGATATTCTTACTGATTTCTTTTTTTTTTTTTTTTTTTTTTTTGTCCCAGCAAGTTGGGTTACTTGTGCTTGTTTTCTCTTTAGTTAAAAAATGCTCTGTCTTTATGTTCTGTGATAGCTTTTGACCTAAATGGAACTCTTCCTTTTTTGGATTTTGTTAGATACTTGCAGAACTGTCCTGATGACTAGGATGCTATCAGTAGCTAAAATGCATCATAAGTCCCTTGACAGGAAGGGAGGGGAGATGAGAAGTTTCTTGAGAGATCAACTACCCCTTCCTCCTGCTGCCAGACTCTTCCTGATAGATGATTTTATTTTTTCTTAATATTTTTCATAAGGAAAAATCATACTTTGTAGCTGCCTAATCTCTTTAGATACCTCTACCACTTCTTTTTTTTTTTTTTTTTTTTTCTTCCTATTGGCTTGTCCACTGATAACTAGAAGTTGCAGTTTGAGGGACCTAGAAATTTAATTTCTTTTTGTATCTGCTTAGGAACAATTTTAAAATTAAATATATTCATCTATTCCTTTTGTGTTATGCCATTTATTTAATACAAATAGTGCCACCCACTCTTACATCCACATAAATGTTACCAAGTCAAAAAATTAATAGCATGAACTCTTCCATGGTGGAGATAGAATTTTTATAGAATCAGTCACTTAATTCAGTTGGCCATTTAGTTCATAGAGTTCACTGTGTTTTTAGCACTGTGTGGTACATTCTTTCCTGTCTTAACATCCATGTGGCTTACCTGAATCATTTCTTATTGGTATCATATTATTGGAGGACTTAAGATCTGCTTTGTCTCTCTGTTACAATAAATTTCACCTGCTGTATTTAAAATTCACAGTGGCATTTATTGAAAAATTCTTATTTTTAAAGAAAAGGAAATAGAAATAATTTCTATTTAAATATGTTCTGAGGACACAGTCATCTCCCTCTACTGCTCAGCAGAACTGTTGCCTGTATGCATTAATCCTCCGTGATCCACCGGAGAGTGCTAGGATGTATTATGCCTTTTTTTTGGGCACAGACTAGAGAGATTGGGATTTTGAGGTGTCATTTATCTTTCAGATGTCAAAATATTTTGTTACCATTAACAGAACTGAAGGGTCCTGCCGAAATTTGGAGATCCAGTTTGAAGAGATGCTAGTAAATACGTCAGCTCACAACTCCACTCTTTCAGTTGTCTGTCAGAATTGAAACAAAGTTAAAACAGTGTTGTGGTCTCTGTGACTGGCACAAGGTGTCAGGAGGTGCTCCAAAGGGCAGTGACTCCTTTGGCAGTTAGTACTGTGGGAAAACACAGACCAGTAAAAGCTGACTGCCTTGAAATGTTCAGCTTACATTTGCTGTGTCTGGACTGCAAAGTGCCTCTGGTACCCTGCTGCTGTGAGTTTCCCCAAGGAAAACTGCAGTCTTGGTGTGTGTACTTCAGGGTAAGCTTTTATGTACTTTGCTGAGGCAAGGCCAGGGGAGAAAGGAAGAATTACACAATTTTTTGGCTTGAACCTTGGAGTTAAAGGGCTAGAGAGTATGTAATTACTTCAAGGTAATTACATTGTTACAGAGTTAATTTTAAAACAGTTTCTTTCAATAACTTACATTTAGTTTTCAGTGGTCTGATCAGAATGCATTTCCTGCATGTATCAGCCTACTGAAATAAAATGTAATTGAAAACTGCATTAATTAAATGTACAAAATTAAGTTTTTTGTCTGAAGAATGCAGTCTCATTTGTCCATTTTTTTCCTACTTGTGAAGCCTGTTGAAAGCAGGGATCTTACATGCTGTATGGTTTTCTTCTTGTCCTCCTCCTCCCCTTCCATCGATTTATGGAAAATGATCTAACTTATACAAAAATAAAGCCAGAATAGGAGAGACTACCTTAACATTTTTTGCTACTCTTCTGGCACAACAGTTTTATCAGTCTTCTCATCTGTCTAGAATAAGGTCAATGACCTATATTTAGTGGCATGTATAAGGTATGGGAAAAAAAACCCAGCTGGTTTTGCAGTATTTATTATGTGCAGTGGTGCTGTAATCCCTCTTCTGAAAGGCAGCATCCCAGATTTCTGGAAAGAAAGAAGCACTTCTCAGGCCACTTTGCTTCTCCTGAATTTTTCAGATCAAGTTTTCTTCAAAAGTATTATTTCTAACTTCTAGTTAAATAATTGCCAATGTCTCTTGCCCTGTGTGAGTGCAGCCTGTGCAGACTTGGTTAGGTGCTGTAGCAGTGCCTGCAGAGCAGTGAGCTCTGAGGTGTGAACAGCTCATGTCTCAATGACTCATACCCAGTGCACACACAACCCTCTGTGTCTGGCCCTGCACTAGCAGCAGCATTGCACTGGCCCAGTTCATTTACAAGATCTTAACTGGTTCATTGTTGACTTGCTAACCACAGACATTCTGTTTTGCTTAGATGAATGTGAGGTAGGTTTTAAGCAGTTGTTCCTAAGTTATCTGTGTGATAATCTTGGAAAGACACTGTTGCTCTTTTGCTGTCAGTATTATTTAAATGCTGTTCTGTCCCTGAAGGTGGCAAAACAAATCTATCAGACCTTAGTACTCATTCACTATGTGTCTGTCCCAGCTTTAAGACTAAGCTGGCAAACTACTCTGGCTGTTACAGCTGGTTGGCCATCCTGACCCTGAGCTGCCCATGAGCAGAAGCAAGTGTTTCATTCTGAGTTTGGATGAAGACTTCTTCCCTGTCCCAGTGATTCTGTTGCTTAATGGCTGGTCTTTGCAGACCAGCACTGAACCAACTGTGTTGGCACTGAGTAGCTGGATAACTACTTTGAGTCAAGTTAGATGCAGTTTTTGTGGAATTGCCCAGACATTAGCAGAGTTCATTGAAACCATCATCATTTTGTGCATGGCAGATCTGGTATAGCATGTTTCTGTGTAATGCTGAGTATCAAGAGTGCCTCGAAGGTTGGGAGGGATGCTGTGTGACATTCAGTTCAAAGTTAAAGTACTTAGTGCACTAAGTAGGTGAGACAGTTACTGCTGGTATGGGCAGGTGCATTCTGCTCCAGCTCAGTGCAGCATGTGTGTTGCAGTAGATGCAGAGACAATTATTAGTGATTTAGAGATTTCTCTATAGAAGGCAAGTGAAAAACTTCATCTAATACTAATTTGACTAGTCAGTGACTGCAACTGAAGTGTGTGTTGGGGGTAAAGCACAGGAGTGAAGTTGTCCTCTGGAAAAAGAGTTGGCAGTGTTCTTATGGTCTTGGATGGCTGACAAACTCCTAACCTCAGTGGGGACTGCTCTTCTGTTAGATCCTATGATAAATCTCTTTATGAGGATACTACTGGGGGGGACAAAAAACAAGGAATGCCAAAAATCTGGGCCTATGTTCTCACCTGCCGGAGTCCCTGACTGCTATTGTTTTCTTGTGTAACGTTCAGCAATCAGATGGGTGAATAATCCTATTATTTCCCATCCTTTCCACGCAGAGAATTGGGGACTCGTACCGCGGCTATTGTGTGAGCGAGACAGAGTTAGAGAGCATTCTCACGCTACACAAGCAGCAAACACAGAGTGTGTGGGGGACGCGCCAGTCTCCAAGCCCAGCCAAACCTGCCACACGGTTGATGTGGAAATCTCAGTATGTCCCATATGATGGGATCCCCTTTGTCAATGCAGGTAACTAACTTTTATTTTAATAACTACTTTCAGAATTTCAACATCAGCTCCCAACTGGCCATAAAGAAGAAGAATCTGTATGTTGTTCCTTAGTTTTGATAAGGTCAAGGCACAAACATAAAAAAAGGAGCAGCTTGCAGGCTGCTGTGAGAGTCTGAAGGAACTTGTTTCCTTTTTTATGTTTTGCTGTGATTATTCCCTTTTGTCCTTCAGAGATTAGCTAAGTACCGTTTGATGGGGGTTCTTGTGATGAGGGCTTTAGGTGGAGGTCCCATCTGCTCTATTAAGACTTGAAAGTTTTTGTAAGGGTAAGAGCTTGTTCGATTATTCTTGCCTAACTTGCAGATCTTTAGAAGAGTTTGTTCCACAGGAGTCAATAAACTATTTCAATTACAAACATTAAAGTAATAAAGAAATAAATTCAAAACACCAAACAAGCAAGCTAAACATCTACAGACCTCAGCAGAGAGATTTTTGATGTCTGTGGTTCTTTTTGAAATGCACATGCAGACTTCACAGCTTGGTAATTACATATTTAGCTCATGCACAATATACATGAAATTACCAAGAGTTTAATTTGGACATAAAATGAACGGGCTTTACTTGCTACATAGAGAAAATGAGTGACAGGAATGTAGGTTATGTTTGGGGTTTTTTTCCCTGAAAGTTGCTGAAAAAGGGAAATGTTAGCACCAATTTTAAAGCTTCAGCCATAAACTCTGAGATAAAAGAAAACTAAGAATAAAATCAAAGCAACTTACCCTTTTTTCCCCCAGCGTGAGACATCTTTAATTTCATCTAGATGATTTGGTATCTTATGGAAACAGATTATGTTGCTGTTACAAAGTTTCTGGCTATATCCCTTGTGGCATAGGCAGCTCCTTGCCTGCATACTAGAGTACATGAAGTATAAATAAATGATAACTAAATGTGATGTGGAAGAAATTTGGAAGATGTTCTTTTCTTGACCACTTTAATGCTTTGCTTGTCAATCCCTTTTGTTAGAGGTCTGACTGGAAGAAGTCACTTAGTTTGAGTTTAGAGCAAAGCAATATTTGTTTGAGCCTGTCTGGTTTTGTGTGGGTGTGCTGTGCTGAAACTGTGTTATTTAGCAGTTAAGATTTCTGAGCTACAAGGCTGAGCTTTTATGGGACAGCATGGTCTGAAGTTTTGATTTAAGCCAGGAGGCTGGAAATGGCTGCTGACCTTGTCTCATGGTTTGAACCCAGCTGGAAATCACCACAGAGCTGCTCACTCATTCCCCCAGTGGGATGGGGGAGAGAATCAGGGAAGTGAAAGTGAGAAAACTCATGGGCTGAGATAGGAGTTGTTTAAAAGATAAGGGAAAATCCACACACACAAGCAAAGCAAAGTAAGGAATTCATTCACCTTCCCATCCCCAGGACAGCAAGACACCATAATTTTAACAGTTACTTAGGAAGACAAACACTGTAACTTTCAATGTGCCTCCCCCCTTCTTCCTGCTTCCCACAGCTCTGTATGCTGCACATGATGCTATATGACATGGAATATGACTTTGGTCATTTTGGGTCAGCTGTCCCAGCTGTGTTCCCTTCCAGTTTCTTGTGTCCCTCAGCCTCCTCATTGGTGGGGTGGGGTGAGAGGCAGAAAAGACCTTGATTCTGTGTAAGCCCTGCTCTGCAGTAACTAAACATCCCTGTGTTAGCAGCACAACACAGCCTCGCACTGGCTACTGTGAAGAAAGTTAACTCTATCCCAGCCAAAACCATCACACTTTTGATTTCAGCTGGAGATTTTCTCTGTTGTTTTGGGGGTTCTGCTTTTATGTTTATTACCAGTATTTTACTCCTTTGGTAGCTTGCAAGACCTCTCATCTTGTAAAGTATTATTGGTGCTCACCAGGATGAAGTTCAATTCTTTGCCTTCTCATATGCTGAGGAGTGCTGTGATGTGTAATAAGTTTGAGAAATGGTTTCAAGTGCTCATCTTACATGCTGGGAGAGAAGTGTTTGCATTATATTTGCTTGCTGTACCAGAGGGTTCTGCCTTCTCAAGAGTCTGAAGGCATTCTTCTGCTTCAGAACTCTCTGAATCTCTTCTGTAGTTAGTATTTCACTGTAATGAATTTAGTGATTGCTTGAACAGAGTGTATTACTTTCTGTTTCCAGGAAGCAGAGCCATTGTAATGGAGTGCCAGTATGGGCCAAGGAGGAAAGGATTTCAGCCCAAAAAATCTGGTGAGCAGGAAAGCACCTCTGGCCAGCTGTACAAAGCTACTTGTCCAGCAAGGTAAGAATTATAGATAAAGCTGTAAGAGTGACTGAGCATCCTAAGAAAGCATTCTCTCTGTGAGCCATGACAAAGCACTGGTTTGGGGTTGGTAGCTCATACCCACTGTCACTCTTAGCTTTATCTCCTTGATAGGTTGAGGTTGATACTCATTTAGAAGTAAGGAGGAGATGCTGTCCTGTTTGACTGAATAAGGCTGAAATTTGATGTGCAAGGTAGCACATCACTCTGCGAAATACAAGTGGGATTCATTATCTACCTGAGCTTTCATAAGTTATTGTGGTGTCCTTTAGTGACTATTTCTGCTCCTAAAACTTTGTCATCTTATATGTTGTTTCTTCTTCAGGCTTTTAATTGCACTGATATCAGTCAATCATCCTAGTTTAACACATCCTGTGTGCTGAAGGAGTTACAGTTCTTCCTGTTCACTGGGTATTTTCTCCTTCTTCAACACTGATGGTTTTTTTTCCTCACCCTTGAGCATTCTACTGGGTGCTTGTTCAGTTTTTACTGAGCTTAGAATTTGTTTGATGAATAGTTGCAGCTGGGTCTGTAGATGCTTGATTCTGCATAGCTGGGTGAACTGCAGCACGATTGGTGTTGTGCTTTTACTATTCTGAGGGACGAGAGCTTTTATTGAGGAGTAAAATCACTTTGCCTGAGTGCTTCCAGCTCAGAACAGAAGTGTGTCTGCATCCATATCTATTAATGTATCCTTAAGAATTTTACAGTTCTTTTAGAGACTTCTCACACTCTACATCACTCTGCTTGAACTTTTTCTATATTAATGCCTGTTATGAAATAAGTGGGATTTTTGCCTTTCCCTTCCCAAGAATAAAGTATACTGATGGAGAATTTTTTTTATTCCTCCTTGGAAGGATCTATATTAAAAAGGTTCAAAAGTTTCCAGAATACAGGGTTCCTACTGACCCTAAAATTGACAAGAAAATCATAAGAATGGAGCAGGAGAAAGCATTCAACATGCTGAAGAAGAACTTGATAGATGCTGGTGGTGTCCTCAGGTGAAACTTCCACTTTTTTCTTTATTTTCACAAATGAAACGGAAAAGAGCAGTATTTTACTTGGTCTTTTTTTTTTTTTTTTTTACTTGGTCACTTATTAATAGTAAAAAAATCCACAATGTCAATAAGACAGTAAGACTTCTATGGCACTGAAGTATTAATTTGGTAAATATGTTAAACACTAAGCTATGGAACTCTAGTGGGCGTTTCCATGCAGGGCATCGATAGAAATAGTTGTACTGTTTTAGGTTTCATATAGTTCATTTTGAATTGAAGGGTGTGAGAGGGCCCTGAGTTCTGAAAGACATCTTCTTGCTCAGGGGCTGTAAGAACTTATCAGACTGAGTAGGTTGTTGGTAGTTGTCATACTGTTCCCCCAAGACACTAATTTTTTGCCTTTGTTTGAGAATTGTGTGTACAAACTCTCTCCTCCTTGCTAGGTGGTATGTACAGTTACCTACTCAGCAAGCCCACCAATATCATGAAATGGAAACTTCCTGCCTCCCTCCTTCACCATCCCATCTTTCTATGTCTTCTCCTGAGGAGGAGGAGGAAGTCATTAGAGATGAGAACAGTACTCTGCCTTCTCGACTTCATCCTCAAGTGGCAGACAAGATCCGAGAACTGGTGTCTCAGGGAATAGAGCAGGTCTATGCAGTGAGGAAGCAACTAAGGTAAAGAACTGTCTGCAGTGCTCTCAGTCTATAGTGCTGTATCTACTTTTGTATTCAATTAATTTGGTTTGCAGCTAAAGGGCAGTGCTGGTGCATTACTGAATGTAATTCTCAGATGTCATGAGTCTGTTTTTCCCAGCTTTTGACATCCTTTCATATCATTGTAGATAGCTACTAAGAGCTGCTGTACTCTTTAATGTTACTTGAATAAATGGGGGTTTTAAATTCCAAACTGTAGCAGATGCACAAAGAACTGGCTCAGAAGATCATCTAGCTTGCTTTTGTCTTGTCATTGCAACAAGGGAAGGGAGAAGATTGCAGTGTCTCTTTACAGCGGGAAGTAGCGGAATATATTTAGGTATGGTATTAAATGTCCTTTTACATATGACAGGAAGTATGTGGAAAGAGAATTGTTCACGCCTGATGAAGTGCCAGAAAGACATAACTTGTCCTTCTTCCCCACTGTGAATGACATCAAGAACCACATTCATGAAGTGCAGAAATCCCTAAGAAATGGAGAGATGGTGTATAATTCAGAAAGTATCCCAGCAACGGTATGTTGGCCTTTGTGTATCTTTTTGATTTTTGGAGTTAAATACTGGAAATCTTAATTTTTACCACCTAACTGTATTTCATCCAAAATTCTCTGTGACTTTGTATTTCCAGCAGCAATATTTTCAGTGGAATCTCTGGCTGAGCAAGATTGGATTAAATGTGAATAAAACCTTCTGACCATATTCGGTATTTATCTCATCAGCATTAGACTGCTGTTAGTTGATTGACAAATTACACAGTATTAGCACTTCTTGATAACTGCATGGACTGGAAGACATTGGTGTAGAAAAACTTACATGTGGCATAAAATTTTATTCATGGTTTTGTCACTGTCTATGTTTAGAAGAAGTTCTCACTGCTCTTCTGTAGCTGAAAAAAATGGGGATGAAGTCTCAGATGCGGTCTAGATTAGGACTTAAACATTTTGAATGTATAAATAGTAATAAATGCACTTTATAGTAAGTGCAGTGAGCTTGGAGTTGAATTTTCCAAATGCTCAGTAACTCTTAAATCTTGTTCCTTAATTTTCTTCCATGTATTGAGTAATAAAGGGTACACAGTGACCCTGGTTTTGAGACTAAATGCTAAAAAATGGCTGATTTAAAATCAGCTTTGACAAACAGTACTGTTAAATCATGCCGTGTCATCAAGCTTTTCCCTCTCCCTACACTGATACAGCCCAGGTGAGTGAGTGTGCTTGTTAGTTAGCCAACGGGTTTGACTATTTCCTATTTTAAAATCATTAAACTGTCATGAACAGATAAAGCAGATAACCTTCCTCATACACAGTGCATGTTTAAAAATCTTTTACAGTACTTTTTTTTTGTGAATCAAGCGGTCCTAAAATGCGTAATTATGAAAAAGTAAGAAAATGTAGTTTTAGATGCTGTTTTCTTATATATCATATATTTCTTATATTATGTGTTGAGCCTGTGTTCCCGTAGACAAGCTTGCACCCTTTCTGAGAACTGAGTTCTTTTTCCTTTCAGCTGCAATGGACCACAGACAGTGGGAATGTCCTCACAGAAACAGTGACTGTTGCGTTTGCCTCACCACCTTCAGATGGTAGGACTGCATGTATAACCAATCTGTCTCCAAATGAGTTTTATTAGCTATGTCAGAGAAGTTCAGTTTCTTTACAGGGAGTTTGCTGTCGTGTCCTGTCACTCAGGTGAACTTAAGAAGGATTATTTTGCTATAACTATTTCAGTTAACTTTTTTTTTCCTATTTGACTGCATATGTGGAAAAAATATGCATAGTCATGATGTTCTTGGCAGAAGTATTAAAATTATAAATTTGGTTTTTCTTTAGCATCTTCAAACAAACAAAAATCTTAATAGCATGGTTTAATAGCATGTCTGAAAAGAACATTTTATCTTGGATGAAGGTGCTAATAATACCTGTTTAGAGAGAATTAAGTTACTACTGAACAGAGATAGATGTCTGCTAGGGGACACAGTACTCAGGATCCAGCAGGACATTTGAGTTCCAGGTGGTTTCTGCTTCACATGTTTAAACGTCTTGCTGAAAAGGACTTCATTGCACATTGAGACACTCCTGCTTCTCAGAAGTCATTGGCCTGATGAATTCCAGTGCCAGGATCAGGCACTGAACAGCAAGCATTGTATTTCTGTTACTGGAACTGAGAGCAATATTTTCCATTTTTCCTTGATGCTTAGAACAGAACTAGAAACACGGGTGTTAAGTGGTAGCAAGGCTGAGAGATGTGTTTCTTCAGATCTTTGTGATGTAACTTCTTTACTAATGTGGTACCCAAGTATCATCTCTTCCCAGTAATTGTTGAGCCACAATGTGATAAACTTCTTCCCAGTCTGCTGGAAAACTAGAGTGTAGATATGATATATTTTTATATAATCTTACTTTTATGCATTCTTGGTCGAAGGACTGTTTTTTTTGAAGATGTTATGCTGTTTTCCATTGTTGAAAGTGGGTTCCTACTACTATTACTTCAACTTCAAAACATGACTAAGACAAAACACAGGTGTTTGTAACTAGATCTACTTGCTCCCCACATAGATAGAATTACACATAGGCTAAGATGTTCTGTTGCATTATAGTGGCTGGTAATAAATTTAAAATTAGATTATTCTTCCCTTCCCATCCTTGTTTCAAGAATGTTTTGTCGAGTGTGACACCAGAAGAACCTTTCCTCATGTTTGTTGATGTTTTCCCCATTCTCTGTTTAATAGGTTTGATGTGAAACTCATCAGAACTATCCCTGGCTTTTAGCAGGGATATGATTGAAGTGAGGTGGAAAAGCCTAATTGTTTGCACAGGTTCAGATCATGCTGCAGACTTTGCAGATGTTTTTAACCTCAGCAGCAGAGCCAGCTGGTTTCCCCATTTAACCAAAATGTGGTGTTTGGGTACATTTTGTTCTAGACAGCTGATGGAGAAGTCTGCAGGGACCGAAAGAGTACTGCCTACTGTTTAGGATTTACTTGTGTCAACAGTTATCCTGTGGTTCTTGCCTGAAGAAGTCCTGATGTGTTTGTGTCCCTTTCCCCTTAGGTCAGGGAGTGATGTGGGCCAATTGCTTATTTGTTGTAGCAGGAAATATAAAACCTCAGGGGTTTGGCTCACTGCTTGAGTTCTCAACAACTTGGTGAACCTGATTTATGTGAATCAGTTCCATGTACACCAGTGCATTTACTGTTAAAAAAAGGAAAAAGTTGGGCACTGTTTCTTTTGGGATTTTTTAACTTTATTTTGGCGGCTGCTGCTGCAATAGATTAATTTGAACTGAAAATTGTTAGGTATGCTTGATGCTTTTAGGCAAGAATTACAGTGTTTTACAATTGTGTGAGAAGAAGAGGTTAATTTTTAAACTCAGCTTGAACAGTGTCCCTCTTTTTTAAGGAAGTCTTGTTTTATAGGAAAAGAAGAAATTTGCAATGTGAACAGACTTACTGTGCTTAAGCTTGCATGCCTATGAGTATTGCCATTACTGTGTTTTTATGGAGAGACACAGAATAGTTGTCTTCAACAGCTGTGGTAGAGCTCAGCAGGGATGACTTTTATATGAACTGAGTGCTGGAGAACACTCAGAAAGAGACCAATTCTTGCTTTCTTTGTTTTACACAGATAATCTTTTAAGACAAAGTAGCCTATCAAATGTGTAAACATCCACCCAGTGACATACTGAATTTTACAGGAAGCAAAAGTATGGGTTTTGTTTCATTTTCTGCGCATGTGAACCAGCTCAGTGAATATAAGCAGAAACTCTAACTGCAGCATGTCTCATCTCCTCTTATATGTGTTTGTACACATTTCAGCACGTTTATAATTGTATTACAAAAAAGAAGTCTGACTTCCTAAAAATGAACTTTCATTAATGTTTGCAAAGTGGTAGCAAGGGACAACAGCATTGACTTTTCAGACTATTCTTTGTATACATATTTTTTTTAAATTTCAGCTTGTGCCAAATGGAGACAACTGTACATTTAAGAAATCAGGCAGTAACAGAACTTTTTGTGCAGAACTCCCTATCTCATGTGATATAACTTTCTTTGTAGCAAGTAGAGGAGGAGTTGAACTATTACCTTTTTTCCCAGGAGTATTGCTGTAGAATACACCCCAGGGAGAGAGCTACTATCTCTTCCTTCATGTGAATATTCACATATGCATATGTGATCTCTGTATAATATTCAAGAGTCTAAATATTTGAAGTACTTGTGTTCAAGACTCACAGATTTGTATGTATCTTCCAATCAGTTACAGCAGTTAAGAGTCTGCAGATCATTATATATGTTGAAAAATCTACCTCCACTCAGATTGCTGGAAGCTTTTCCTATGATTTTCTGATAGAAAATATTTTGCAATTGACCATTCTCAATTTTTTTTTACATTCACCAGAATAATCTGCATTCACAGGGCAAGTTCCTCTTTTACCTCCATAAAAGTGGAACTGAGAAATAAGAAGCTGAGCAATGTCTGCTTGTATAAAGCTTAACCAAAATGTTCTGGGTGTCTCCAACAGGAAATGGAATGATCTCATGAGAAGTTTTCTTGCAGAAATTGTTATAAGTGAATCTCAGTTTTCACAAAACTTCAGGAAATGAAGTCCATCATTCTTGCATGAAATAAAAATTTTGAGGATATGATATCATTTGCAGGCTGAAAGACCTCCAGATAAATGGACTTCAGATGATACTGCATAGAAGTTATACTGATTTCACAAAGATGGGAAGGGAGTGGTGAAACATAGAAAATTTCCTGTGTAGATTTTTATTTTGAAAGACAACCTTTTCTTTTGATACCTGTGTGTTTGTAAGTCCTTACTGAGGTATAGATATCTTAAATTATTTGCCGCTTTGTTAGAAGTGTTTCAGCTTTTATGTTATAACTACAAATTCAAAGGATAATGTAGGGTGCTCTCAGGAACAGATTTATTGGTGCCTCTGGTTTTTGCTCTGTACAGATACATGCAGACTTCCTGCAGTATTGCCTTTCTGTCACACCCAGTCTTTTTTCTTTAGTCCAAGTTCTGCAAAGAGAACTGCATATATGTATGTATATATACATCTTCTGTATATCTGTAATTGACATTGAAGGAAGTTTGGTTCACAGGGGAGGCTTTTATTAAACAGAAGAGATTTTTCATAACTGCTTCTTCACTTTGATACCATAGGGATCTCAGGAGCGGAGTCAGTCATCACCAAAGCAGAATCCAACCAGAGTGGGGAGTCCTTGATACCTGAAACAGCTCATATGTTGTCTTCACTCTCTTCACTTCAGCCCAAGATATTTGCACAACTTCAGGTACAGCCAAGTCATTTACAGAACATCAAACATGCTGTGCTGGAAGTGCTGAAGGCAAGCTGAGAACAGCAAGTTCCCTCTCAGCTGATCCCAATCGTAGCTGGGAAACACAGACTTTGAAGTAGCTGTCAGCTCTTACTCTGGCTGCTCTTGCATGTCACATTTAGCATGTAGCTGTGGTGCAGGGGATCCCACTACCATCTTTTGACACTTTGAAGTTAGGGTCTCTTGTGAAGTTTTCTCTTGAAAACCAAGAGGATAAAGGCAGTGGGTTTCTACCTCAAACCAAGTACCTATTCGTTTTCCACATGCTCCAGTCATTTCATAATGAAAATGCTGCAAAACTGCAGGGAGATAAGACAGACTTGTTTATTCCTTTTAAATCCTTCACCAGCCTCTTAAGAAAATATCTTAAAATCCTGAAACTGTTCCTAGCTCAGAGCTGTAAACTTGCAGGTTGAAAGGCTGAAGAGGGAGGGATAAGAATGTTATGGTAAAAGAGCTTCTAAAGCTCATCTCCCTTCAAAGCTGCCTTTCTTATCCTTCTTACTTAACTGCTTTGAAAATGTGCCTTCATATTTCCTGAACCCCAATGAAATGCATGATCTTTTCCCTAGAAATACAATCTGTAGTAAGATTCTACTCTACTTGCTGTTTCCTGTCTTTCTGCGAAAACCTGGTGAAGCCTGGCTCCACCTCATATCATTTTATTTAATGCAGTGTGCTTAGCTTGTAGTACCTGCCTCTTGTGGGAATGAACAGTACTGGGGAATGATCTGAAACTGAATATCAATCCAAAATTAGAGCTTTATGGTTCTAAGCATTCTTCTAAATGCGGCTGGATTCCATTGTCCTAATTGTTTTGAAGTATATTTTGAGCCTAGAGTTGCTGGGATTGAGTGTTCAGAAGAGTTAATGCGTAGGAAGTCAGAAGCTATCTAGACAATACATGCTGTTAAATGCAAACTCCTTCTGCTATAAATACTGTTATGTTGGTACTTCTGCCTTCTCTTTCACAGGGATTACAGCTGCAGTCAACATTTACCTCGACAAATGGATCAACAGCCCTGCTAGCTGTAAATAACCATTCCCCTCCCAGCCCTTCAAGTCTCCTGGATTCCCTGGGGAGTGCAATAAGCAGCCATTCTCTAGCACTCAATCAGACCCACAGTCTGCAAGCAAGTGCTGGCCTAACACAGGACAGTGCTGCTGCACCTGCTTTTGGGGCTCTGCCTGGCCCTGATCAGAGTCTGGTTGCCATGGGCCAGCTGGTACCAGCTGAAGGGGTGGATGACTCCAGAAGCCTGGAAGGAGGAGAGCATCAGATTCTCTTGGGAGATGTGCAGACTATTCCAGTACAGATTGTGGACAGCCAGCCAGCACTTAGTAAGTTGCAGTTTGCTCAATAATATGTGAATATTTGTTCACATATTATTTTGTTCTGTGTGTCTTGAAGAAAGGAGACAAATGTGTTGATAGTGGGAAACTCCAAGACAAACTTCTTTCAGCCAGTTCTAATTAGTTTTTTTATTTGTCCATGTAAAAGAGGAAAGATGTTTTGTGTGAAAGTGGTTTTATATCTCCAAATACTTTATTATTTTTTATAAATATGTTTAAATATTTTTATTTGAGGGGAGCCTTACTGAAGTAAGTTTATGTCAACTTGCAGAGTTTTAGTGCACAGTAGGTGATATAACTAACTGGCTATCAAGCAAAAAAGCAGTAAACTTCATATATACCTTAACTGTTAGCTTGAGTTACTGATATATTTTTCTTTTAAATGCACAGTTATTGGGGCTGAAGCATTGTCAATGGAGTTTGAACTTCAGTGTTTGATTTTTGTTTTGTTTTTAAGCTGAAGAAAATACAGAGGGTGTTGTTACCTGTGTGAGCCAAGTTAAACAAGAGCCAAGAGAAAAAGCATTGTCTATGGAGACAGATAAAATCAGAGACTGCCACAGTTCCTCACCATAGTACTTCACCTGAAGCCTGGAAGGATTTTTCAAATTGGAGAACTCTAAATGTCTTGGAAGGAAAGGCAGGTGCTCTCAAAGTACTGCCATTCTCTTTTAATTGTATTATGACATTTGGACTAAGCGTATTTTAGAGTAGTTATGACAGAAAGCTGTTTTGGTTTGACTGATGTGGCTCACTGCCAACTCCAGGTCATTCAGTTGCCCCATGGAACACCACCTCTCTCTTCTGTTTCAAGTTTTGAGTAATTTGGATTCTATCCAAATGGCCTGTTTTGTTAATTGTTTCTGAAGGTCTTCCACAATTTAATTCCTTAGCTTTAGAATGTGGATCACAATGCTGGGTTTGCATTTTCTTCTTGAGACCCTTGACTCTTATTGCACTACAGAGACCATAGAATCTGTCAGCTCCAAGATCACAGAATCCAACAGCAAAGCGATCAGTATGACAATGGTTTTGTGACAAAAAGAAGGTCCAGGTTGCTAAACTTCAAAGTGATAAAGGACATGGATGCTTAAGAAAATGCAGCTTTGACCTGATCATAATGTTAATGGTGTGAAGATCAAGGAGAGGAGAAAGGTGAGGTTGCCAGGTGAACATAAAGTTGTATGATAAAGCAAAGTGTATGAATTGTAATGGTGAATTTTTTTGATTTTGACATCTTTCAACTTAAGTTCTGGCTTTATAATGAGGTTCATTGATGCATGCAGCCTTCCTTTGCAGTGCTACTGTATTTGCAGTTGGTCATAACAACTAAATGCAGGAGTCTTTCTCATGGAAAATGATTGATGCTGCCATTTCAGCTTATCTACCTCTTGCTTTGTGCACTTAAAGCTGTCAGCTCAGACAAATGTGATTTAACCTACTGCTGTTTGTGATGTAGGGCTTGTGGATACATTCCTAACAAAGAGAAGCCCAAGAAAACAAAGGAAGTAATCAAAGCAATGTCCAAGTGTTCTTCACCTTAACATTCAGAAAACAAACTCATCTTTCTCAAAAGTGACGTATCCTAAGACTTAAGTGGTCCATACAATTAAAATAATTACCACGAATCTTTAGAAAATTGAATGTGTTAAAAATCATTGTTTAGTAGTATTTGAGTTAAAGCCATAGTAAGTGACAAGCACTGAGCTGTGTAATCTGTAACAGCTGTTTCCTTAAGAAAAAAATCACAGCTACAAATAACTTGGAATCATTTTAAAGCTGTAAATGAAATGAAACTGATGCCAACATAGATATCAAGTTAGGAAATTGCATTTTTTGCAATTCAGATGTTGAATTCTTAAAGCAAAATTCAGAGTAGTTTGTATGCAGCAATAGGAGCCTTTCTATTATTAGTTCCTACTAAGTAGTTGAGAACTTGATCATAAAATAGGGGTTGTTTTTCCTGCATGCTGTGGAAGAACTCAGTGTGAGGACTTTTTTCTTTTTCGGACTTGAAAACAAATGAACAAAGAACCCCAGAAAAACTATTTCATTTATGTAGAGAAGAAAGTGTTGTGAATATTATATGAACCAAAATATTGACATTTTAAAATTGTTACTTTACCTTACATTCAAGCATTCACAAACATCTTCTAAACAATGGCCATTTATTTTATTTTTTTCATTTTCTTTTGAGTATTTAAAGCTAAAACTTTTGAAAGCCTTACATTGAACTTGTGTTCCAAATGTCTTTATGTGCAAAATCTGTTAGGTGCTATATCATAGTCTTAATATATATTAACTTCTCTGAGGTTAACTAGCATTGTAAACATTATTTGTTTGAAGCTAATTTTTATGGCTTAAGTCCCATTAGGATTTTCCAGCAGGATCATGCTCTTATTAAATAAGAGCCAGTAGTTTATGATGCAAATGCATTTAAAAATCTCCATTTTTTTGGAGCCTCTCATATTTAGTGTCTACACTGACTTGTTTTATGCTGTGCTGTACTTACTTCTGGCTAGGAAAAATTCCCCAAGATTCACCTGTGGGGTATTTTATTTAGTTGGGGTTTGTTTTTGTCTGTTTGTTTGTTTGTGGTTTTTTGTTGGTTTTTTGGTAGGTTATTTTGCTAATTGTCAAAGTATCTCCCAAATGGATGTTCTCTGCTGCAGTCTTAGTTCTGGAGCACTCAGCCAGCAGTCCCCTTCTCTTTTCCAACTCAAAAACTGCATACCAGAATTGGTACCTCCTTCCATGCTGCTGTATTCAATAATCCATCACCATCAGTTTTTCTTAAACTAATGCATTCCAAACCATATTCTCTTTCCCTTTCTCTTTTTGTGAGAATTTTTCCTCATTTTTGAGAATGCTTCTTTTCAAAAGAATAAATTACAGCTAAAGATCACCAGCAAGAGGTTATTTCCATTTTAGTTCTCTTCAAAGCAGACAATACATTTGTGATTGAAATAAAAGCTTAAAGTAAGATGAGTTCCATTTCCATCAGCTCTTTCTTAGTTCCCTCATTAACAGTTCTGGTTTTAACATGGTTCTTTCCACCATGAGCTATAGTCTTATCCTGTGCTGCATGGTATTTCTGACAGTGTTTCTGGTTTTGACCTAGTGCTTACAACTGGAGGAAACACTCTTTTAGTCCATCTTGAATTGCAGGCTCTGAAATGAATTTTATATTCTATCCTGATTTGCATGGTACTCTGAAAACAACAGAAAGTAAAAGTTGGAAAAATTTTAAAGAAGCAATAAAGAATTAGTTGTTTTCAAAAGCTGAGGATTAGACTTGCAATTCTGTTTATTGGAAAATTTATTTTAAATTATTCTTCACTCAATACTCACATTTTTGTCTTCAGTTTTCTTCATTTTTGCTGAATTTAATTTCTTTGTCTTCCAAATATATAATTCATCTTATTACTGTGTTATTTTTTTTAATGTAATGTAATCTTTCTTTTTCAAAGTATGTGTTTTACATTTGTTTTGTGCATATTGCTAAAGGAGGAACATGAATTCATCTCCATGTCCAGTCTTTATATTTAATTTAATGCCTTTGTTCACTAATAGCCACCTACATTTTATAGAGAAGACTAGTTAAGTATCTGAAAAAAATCAAAGTAAATGCTGCCATGTTCAATGGTTAAAATTGTTTAAATAGAATACTCAAGGCTGATTTTTCAGAGTAATCTGTGTAGCTTGATGCAAAGTAGTTGGTTATTATTTTGTGTTGGAACTGTAGATGTTTTTCTGATGCTTACTTTGTTTTCTTGTGGTTGTCGTGTGCAAGCACTTACTTTGCAAACCTAGAATTCTTGGCCTTCAACACTAGTGTAAATGAACAACTGATTCTCCAGTTATCCTTGTTGGTTGTCTGTAAGAGTGATTGGTTGCTTTACAAGAAGAGATGGGCTTCTGTATGTGCATGCAAAAATAACCTTTTGGTAAAATGTAGAGGAAGTGTAAAATGGTATACATCCATAGCTCTTCTTCAAGGCTGGAGGCCTCTTGGATGGAAACCAGTACTAGAAATGATTGCTGTTTGTTGGTACAAAATTATTGCAGTTTCTACAAAATGTAGAGGCACAAATGTCTGTAGATATGTGTATATATATATATATATTTTCTATAGTAACTTACTGTATAATATTTATATTCAAATGTAAACTACTTGTTCTTTTTAAAGTAATGGTCTATTTTGTGGCTGTGGGGGCTCATGGGGAGAAATGTAAGAGCACTTTCAGGGCAGTGGATTTTAGAGATGATGGACCACAAGTAGGAGAGCTCCAGGGAGACCAGATGGAAGAAGTTCCTGAAAAACAAGGATCCTGCTTTGAGGACTGATGGGAGTTGTGCTTGGAGGGTTCTGGGGCTGAGAGCCCAAAGGCTCAGTGCAGTTCCTGATTCTGTCTATAGTCCTCTCTATGCCAATAGTGGATAGTGTGAGATCATGGTAGGAAATTAAAGATATGGAAAAAAAGGGAATCCTGCCCTGCCCTTAAAAGCAGAGAAGCTGCTGGAGTTTTGATGAGCACTAGAGGCAGATAAATGACTCCCCATAGTCTGAGATGCCCATTCTTAGCTTCTAATATGAAGAAGAAGCTCCTCTTGGAGCTTCAGCCCAGGGCTGTAGACTCTTTTTCTTTACCTGTTACCAAGGAAAACAAACCTTTTCTTCCCAACTGAATTAACCTGCTGCTTTCCTCATCCCACTGACTGCAGTTCAGTATCTGCCCAAATGTCTCTCCATACTTATTAAGGCTTCCACAGAAATCCCATGCCCTCAGGCCCTCCAGTTCTCACTGTTTCACTGTTGGACTGTTGAAGGAGCTGCTGAGTTCACTGCACAGGTAAACACTGGTGAGCTTTGCCCCATCAGTTTTTCTCCCTCCTTCCCCATGATCATAAGTACATTTGTTCCTTTAAATTGCATTAAGTTTTTTTTACTTGCTTGCTTAAGGGTTTATCATCATTACTGGGATGCATATGAGGGAGCACCATTTCACAGACCATTTACATTCACAGCAACTGAAAATATTTGATAAAACAGGGAGGAAAGAATGGTTTCTGCCAGCTGTTAGGGCTGGCCTCTTTCATACCACTTGAATTGATGATTCTGGCTGTGGATAGTAGCTGCCCATTAAGTTGTCTGTCTGTTGGCAAAAGTGCAATTTTCTCCCTTAAGCCTATTCAAGCACATGCCTTCTCAGATGTTTAGGTAGGAAGAATCTGTTACATTAGGAATAGCAAGTGTGATACAGCTGAGCATGGTGCTGGGAAAAGTTACTGTTCTTTATGGGTCTCTGATGAGAAAATAATCTTTGATCTGCATTGCCTTTCTGAACAAAGCTTTTGTAGGAATAGACTTGAGAGCCTATCCTATCAGTAACAATTATCTTCTCCCAGCAACAGTGCACTGCATTAATGAATGAAACAAGCCTTGTGTAAAACAGATGGTGTTAATTTTTTTAGGTCAGAAGCTATCCAGTTGGTCTACCCAACAACAGCAGCTAAGGTACGATTTGGGGGGGAAAGGAGAGGAGCAAATAAGAAGAGTGTATATGCATGAATTTTTTTTTTTTCCAATACAAGCTCTTATATCTGAGTCTCCCATTCCATTTCTGGTGCACATGGCAAATGACGTGTAGGGATTTGAAGTGTTTTCTGGAGAGTCCTCAAAGGAGCAGTCAGAGATAGTGCTGCTGTATCATACAAACTACTAGTACATGTTTGTCAACTAGGACCCCATTCTGTTCTTGTACAGAAGGGCTTTCAAAAGCATGGGAAGCTTTACAAGGACAAGCACTGAGTGTCCTTATCCTAAGGAGTCTTCTCTGGACAGGAAAATAGGAGCTGTGGGGGTAATTCTCATCACTAGTCTGTTAGTCTCTGATAGATAGAGGAAGCCTTGCAAAAAGCATGTATATGACAGCCCCTTATTGCAAATTACCTTTGGACACTTAATAGTTGTACAATACGTACGATACATATATAGATGTATGTATCTTAAAATAAAATGGAGACATGACTATAGTTGTTTGCACATAATTCTTTAATACCATTTTAATTACACTTATCTGTGGTTAAATGATGTAGATATTTTAGGGCACATGTAATCAGATCTTTTAATGTGGATAATTGGAATTCATGTTTTTACTACAACCATCCTTTGCTCTCTGCAGCACAGCTCAGTTGGTCATTTGGCATGTACTGGCTTCTGTTAATGACATTCTGCCTGTTTAAACAAGAGCATGCTGTTCTAAGCAAATTAAATTTCTCACTCTTCCTGATCTTTTTTCTAATAAGGATTGATAAGGCTCATCATGAAAATCTGTTTGTAGTATAGTGCTTTCATAAGAGTTGATTTCTGGAAGGAGCTAGATACTGTTGGATCTGTCCATTTGGACATTTGTCTAATGTACTTGGATTTCTATAGCAGTGTCAATACAGCATAAGCTGCCACTAAAATACTGTAAAAATTTCCACACTCTCCCTTGGTCAAATGTTGACAGTTCAGTGGCTCCAGGAAAGATCATAAGAATACTTAGGCTCTTTGGACAACAGTTTCTGTCTGTAGATACTATTTAAAACATAATTAGGTGTGGCAATCAAATGGCAGTAGGAGAGTCAGAAACAGAGAGGTGTGTGTTGGCAGGTCAGTGAGAGCAGGAGAAGTTCAGTCCCAGTGTCCTTGTGCCAGACTAACATTCTGTGTGCTAGTCCTGAAAGCACCTTTGAGAAACAGTGATTGTCTGTGTGCTGACATAGCTGTTCTTTCTACTTGCCCACTCAAGAAGTTCTACAAGCCTTCAAGGGACGTGGAGAGCATGAAAGTGTGTAAGATCTTATGAGAAGACCTGCAGGAATGAAACAGAGGGGGTTAAAGTTTGATGATGTGACTTCTATATAATGCACTTTCTTTGGTGGGAGGAAGAGGATTTTCCAAAAGAGAATAAAAGTAAATCTTCTTTTTCAGAATATTAGTATTATTGCTGACTCTCTCTGGTCTGCTCGACAAGATGCCTAGTGTTTGGACAGGTCTCAATGTTTTATGAGTGTGTCCCAAAATGTTAATGAATACTCATTCATACATTGCTGTCTTTGCATGTCATACTGAAACTGTAAGCCAGTGGCACCTCCTGATCTTTTTATTGTCTTTGTGCGTTTTCATAAAGTAAATGAAAGCTTCTTTTTATAATAGCAGAGATATAAATTATCTTATATCTTTTATATCTATCTATATAAATTATATCTTTTTATAAATAACAGAGAGCTTTTATCCAGAGTCCTTTCAGATATATACGTTTTTACAGAGTAAGCTTTAACTTAATAATGTTGTATATTTCTAGCCCTTTAATAACCTAAAATAGCCAAAGCCTTTTCACCTTTTTTTCTTTTTATCCAGAACATGAAGTATTTCAAACTGCCCCTCAAAACCACCATGCTCAGAGCCTGAAAGGTTTGGCACTTTTTTTCCTGGTGATCTTCCATCTGTGCTGTGTTGTCTCTTGCATATAACACCAGAATCCATAGTTAATACCTATCCCATCACATTAAAGCACTTTTTCATTTGCAGAATCTACCTGGTCACTTGACAGCATATCAATGACAATATCTGCAAACCAGTTTGTTGATTAACACCTGTCACATCAGTTCTAGATGTGGCCAATTTTCTTTGTGCATGGAATTTGCATTGGTTTAGTGAAACTAGTGATGTCAAAAATGGTCAAGTCTCATGAACTGAGTGCCTTCTGTTGTGAATTTGATCTTAGTCTGAGTTCTGTCTGAGCTAGGAGCAAATTCTGAGGCTGTGTTCTGCCTCTGTTGCCCCTGTGTTCTGCAGTGCTTGTTGAGCAGAAGAAAAACCTTCCAGCTCCTAAGAACAGGTGCACTTGTGTTTTAGCCTGATGCAAAGCTGCTCATATTAATCTCTTGAGGGATGGCTCATGGAATTCTGCTTTCCAGCTTAAGAGAAGATAAAGTCTCTGTATATGAAAACTTGGTGGAAAATGTGCAGAGAGTTGGGAGCATCTAGAAGAGTCACCCTCAAGTGTACTTAATTTAGGAATAGGAGCTGGTAGAAGGAATAAACAACTGAAGAGTATAATGGTAAAAACAGGCATTCTTACTCTTTACATAGCATTGCCCTTACACAATACCTTTTCTTAAATATGTTCCTTGACAAACACTGGTCAGCAGTGAGAAGGAAACAAATTTCAATTTCTTCCCACTGCCAGCTTAAAGTTTAACAGTGCTTCTGCAAATTAATCACAAGTTGGGCCTAAAAGTCTATCCTAGATCTGAGTTCAGTTTTGCTTTGTCAGGTCACTGTTAAGTTACATAAATTTAACTTTTTCACATAGCTGTTTCTTTTAAAGCTAAAATTAAATGTGAGAAAAAATTGGAAATTTTGTTTCTTATAGAGGACACTTCAGTTCTCTGAAGTGTGCAGGTGTTTCCCCCTTGTCTTCCGCTTTTATCTCTTAGTTCAATATGTATTGGCTGTTTTCTCAGGATCACTTACCTCTGAGAGCACTCCAGATAACTGTCAAGAAGCCAGAGCAGAGAACAGAAGAGGAAAAGAAGTTTGCAAAAAGCTGCTTTCAGGAGATAGAAAGCTCTCAAACTTACAGCTGAAGACTGCAATTTCTTATGGCTGAAATGGCTCACTTTAGATGGTAAATATTTTTTTAATATACTTTTAATATACTTTTTAATTGTTCATTTTGTTACTGCTTACGCTTTGAGCTCACATCTAATAAAAGCTAGAATGGTAACTGTGTATTTTGCTTTTATCTTCAGTGTACTAGTTATCTTCTGAATGTAAACTGGTCTGATAACCCCATGTTTTTGGCTGTTGACAAAGCTGTTATCGCATCTGAGGTGTTCTGTACATCGGAGATGGAGGAAGTGGGAACCTTCTTGACCTTATTTCTACTGAGAACAGATGATCTGTGGAAAGAGGGCTTTACCAGTTTAAAATCAATATCCTCACAATAATTTGGTGCATGTACATGTTTTTCATGTCAGGTGCTTGTGCGTGTCTAACTTTGTACATGATAGAAGCCATAAAATTACCTCTCACTGGCCTAGCCATATTTTTTATTGTCTCCTACCACTGTACTCATTGTTTTTTGGGAATGGGACAATCATTTTAACATGTTCTCGTTTTCTACTTTTCTGCCTTTCTCCTGTTGCCTCTTTCTCATACCCAGAGCAGCACAGAAACAGATTTCTTACTTTAAAAAGACTTCTCCATCCTCAGTTTCCCATGCTTTGGGGTTTTCTCTTTGCTTTATTGTGCTGGACTTTGATTTCTTACATGACTGAAATGTAAGATATTTTGCTTAAGGAGTGGGAAATATTGGGATGGGCTCCACTGCCCCCTTCACTCCAGAAGTCCTCAGAGGAATTACCTACCACAGGTTCTGCTCCTGCACCTGTATCTCCACACAGGCCAGCACAAGCACAGAACTGTGCTGATGCTCTTTGTGTACCAGCATGTTATCAGTACAAAGTTATTGCTGTGAATCCAGATCAGTCTGTGGGTCTGCCCCACTGTGTCCCCACAAATGACTCTTTGGGCACAGCTTGAAAGAGAGCACAGGAAACAGCCAGAAAGTTCTTAATGTTCAACTTTTAGTTTGTGATTCTGTATTGAGTTCAGGTGCCCTGGTGTGGTTGGCCCTGTGCAGGACACAGCTGGTTCCAAGCAGCTCAGCAACAGCCCCACCATGGGACACAGCTGAGCACATCGGTGAAGCTGGGGCACCTCTGTGGCAGTGTCTGTAAGAAAGGGCAAAATGCTGCATGGCAGAGAGGAGTGAGGAAGAAGGTGAAAGAGTTCTCTGAGCACCCAAGTCAGAAAAGAAGAAGAGGGAGGAATTGCTTCTGGTGCTGGAAATTCGGACCACAGAGGATCACATGCCAGAGCAGGTGCAGATTTTTCTGAAGGAACTGCAGTCTGTGGAGAGGAGCCATGCCAGAACAGGCTTCTGCTGAAGGACTGCAGCCTGTGGAGAGAGCCCATGATGGAGTGACAGAAAGAAGCTGTTACAGACTGACTGCAACACCCATGTTCCACTTTGCCCTGTGCTGCCTTGGACAAGGGGAGACAGAGAAGTTGGGGCTTCAAAGTGTAAAAGAGGGCAACAGAATGGAATGTGCTGTTTTAATTTGCTTTTGTTTCTTAGTGATTTAATCTATTTTAATTGGCAAAAAATTAAATTGGCTTTCCTCATATTGATTCAAATATTGAAATTTACATCTGGATGCCAGTCATGGTGGAAAATCCTGATTTCTGTTTGATCACTGCAAGTCATTATTGCCTTTAATTTTTAAGTAATCAAATTTTAATTTTTAAGGATTCATTCTGTGTGAAGAAAGTAGTGTACCTTGTCTGAATCAGTAATTACATTTCTGGATGTATTCTGGTTAGGCCTTTCAAGTTCAGTGTACTCACCTCTTCACTAGAGTAGATCTCGGCGATGAAATAACTCAGGAACATGTCTAATCTGTTACATTTCAGCTGGAAAAGAATACCAGCCATATTTTTACAGGTTTGAGCATGGGAGAGTCATTCTGAGGAGATGATGCTGCAGCATTATTTACTTTGGTAAAGCTGTTTTTACAGGTGTTAAGGATGTGGCATCTTCCCAGTGTTGTCTAGCAGTGCTTCAGAATGGGGCAAAGTTTGTGGTGAGTGGCATCTTCAGTGAAAGTGCTGTTAACTTTGGGCAAAGAAATAAGCAGAGTTTGTGAATGGGATTTATACTCTTGTGCTTTTCAGAGATTATTTAGGAAAATAATAAAAGTAATAAGAATCATAAGTAATAGTAAAGTAATAAGTAAAATAATAAGTAATAAGAATAAGAAGGGAACTTCCTTTAGAGGATAAGTTTTATATGTATGTTCTTTCACCACCTTTGGAAAATACCTGGCACTGGACACCAAGGGTATCTAGGCAGGGTACTAGGTGACATGACACACTTACTGGTTTATTATGGGAGCACTGGAATACAAACATGATGGATAGCTTCCTAACATTAGCTAAATTAATCTTCATTTTTTTTGTCCTCTCTCTTCACATTTCACTATAAAGGGAAGAGTCTCTGTTAAAGGGAACATGGTGAATTGTTATCTGTCCATAAAACTGTTTGTGAACAGTTGGATGAAAAGGACTTCTTTGATAATGAATTAGATGAGCTTTGGAAAGAATTGCACTGTCACTGTAACTTCAAGTATTTTCTTCTAAAGATATTGCTCACTATTGATTATTGTCTTACTGTTTATTTGCTGTATAATTTATTTGTTAAGCTTTTCTGGCCATGTCAAGGCCATGGAAGTAATACATATGGCAGTTCTCTTTTCCTTTGAAGTTTTACAAAAGGGGTAAGAATTCTTCATTTTGCATTTAGGCACCAGCTGCTCTGTAAAAATCCATGATTATCTGTGTTCCATAGCTACCAAAAAATACCAAAAAGTATTCCATAAACTTGTGATTTTTCCTTGGATCAGGCAAAGTGAGTTTGACATCTTTAAAAAAAAAAAAAGGCAGACTACACTAGAACCAAATTTAGCATCTTCAGGAGCTGTGACCTAGGGTTCATCAGTTGCAATTGTAAAAAGATTGATGTTTTCATAGTGAAATGTTTTCATTAATCTAATTTAATCTATGAACAGAAGTATCTTCATTTCTCTTATTTCAGACTTCTGAACTCCTTTGCAAAATGAGAGATCGCTAGTGAGATTAGCTAATAACTGCAAAAATGGAAAAGTTTCACTGAGAACAGGTGTGGTAACAAAATGTACCATAAAGTCAGCCAGCATAATTAACATTAGTAAGGTAAGATCTTTCAGAGGTTAACTACAGGCTAATACTTTTGGTGGGACACTGATGTTTATTCTGATCTTGCAAACAAAAATAATGTTTATGAGCCATTTGCAGAATGAACTGGGAAATAAAGCACTTTGTAAAATGCCAGTCTGTGGTGGTTTTGGTTTCTGTTGATTTTGTCAAGCTTTTACTTGGTGTTCATTCCTGTGTATATCTATTGCAGGGTCTGTTTTATCTGATCTCTTACATAGAGTAAGTTAAAATAAGTTAGTTGTTAATACTTAGAGCAGAAGACCCAAGTACTTCAAGGCAAGATATGATATGCCACATATTTTCTAACAAATAATAGAAGTTGAATATTCTTGATAATTTTCAGAAGACATGTGCCAAAAAGGAGTGCTCATAATGCCTTAAAGCACTAGGACAAAAAATACCATTCTTTTGGAATTTTTAGTTAGTTTTTTTTTTTTAATTTCCTACCTATATTTATGTGAGCTGTATATTTTAATATATTGTATAAGGAAAGCAGGCAATTTTTTTTTTTTTTGTGATGGTTTGTTCTCATTGCTAATGCACATCTTGATGTTCTGATCCACATTTATAACATGATCACTTATACAGGGAGAAGCAGTGTCAGACAATAGAGAATTAGCACAGAATGGGGCATCCAAAACTACTTCTGCTGGCTTTTATCAATTTTTTGTTTGTTTTGAGTGGCAGTACATAACTGACAATAATCATTTAGGACCCATTCTTTCCTTGGAAGGTCTGTGCCCTGCTGTGTACTTTTTGTCATCTCCAGGATCAAGCAGAAGAGATAACCTGAAGGTTCTGCTGTTTGGAAAACAACAGTTGCAGAGTTATTGGGTGTGGGCAGGGGACACGGTCACCATCCTTACATCCAGCAGATGAGAGAACAAGGAATGAAATAGAAGATGGATGTTTTTCTTCTGGTGTTACCATGTTAGATCAAAAGATTTCTAGGGGAATTAATGAGCAGCACTGCAAGAGAAAGAGGTAGGAGCTTGGTGATAACATCTGGTTGAACTCCACTAAGTCATCCAGCTACTTCTGTAGCATTGGAAGCAAGAGAATACTTTCCCATTCCTCCTTCAGATTGTTTGGAAGGAATATGTTCTATCCCAGGCTATCCATTCCCTAGCCCTTGACTTTGGGAGGGATGATGCCAGTTAGGCCAACAGGAGATGAGAAGAGATGGACATTGGCTAAGTGCACCCTGCTCAGACAACAAATATTAGTAACAGTTCTTGTAAATGTTGCCAGTTCTTTTTGCAGCAGTTTGATCTGCGCACATCAAGAGATGGCAAATTTAGGAAGTAGCTGTACTTCTGGAGGCTGCAAAACCCCTGAGATTTGTGTTTGTGCCTCCTGCAGTGCACATACACGTGTAACTATGTAATAATTTGTTAATAGTTACTGCTACAAAAAACTTGGAAAAAAGCCGCTTGCAGTCATCCTATGAAAAGCAAAGAGCTTGTAAGACAGGAAAATGTTTATAGAATGTACAGCAGTTTGACAAAGACAGTGATAAAAATTTCTTATTTTTGGTTTGCTTTTGTGTTAAAAGAATTTTAAACATTTTGCATGGCTGTTACCAAGTATTGCTGTTTCTGTGCTGGGTAGTCACTGATGTCTACATTATAATTATGTACTCAGAAATTTGGGGGTTTTTACCTTTGATTAGAGAATACAGTCTCCAAATGGTTGTCAAGCTGGCATTATAGAAGAATTAAAGAGTTTATTCTAGTAAGATATTGAAATTTAAGAAGTGTAATGAAATCACTAGCAACTGTATCAATAACAGTCTTCAGTGAATTTTGAAGTCCAATCCTTGGGAAGGGTCTGGATGGTTTGTGAACCATTAGTGACACTGCTTTCTTCAGCTAGCTCTGCAAACGGGTGGAGAGAGAGGGGTTGCAGTGGGGTGGCCCATGCAATCCTAGACAGGGGATCTGTGAGGTGGTGCATGTAAGACATCACAAAAAGTAGCACTGAGTGAAGGGAGAGGCAGTGCCAAAGTTCTAAATGTAGATGAGCACTGTGCAATTACCAACATTATTAGGCACCACTTCTGGAGCATCAGCACTGATAGATATGTGGTTATCTCAGCCTGGCCTGACCTGGTTTTCCACATCAGCTGATTTCCCTGGACTTCACCCTTTGTGCCTTTTCTCCCTGCCCTGGCAGTAGGGAGGTATGGCAGAGGGTGTTCAGCACAAAGCTGTTCTTTTCCTAAGAAAAGCCACAGCAGATCTGTTTTGTGTATGGGTCACTGGGACTCTCTGGCCACAACATGAGTGTGTGAAGTTAAAGCATCTCAGATGCTGTATGAAGGGAGGAGAAGTTCCTGGACCTTCAGTGCTACTTACTCTGGAACTTGCAACATGGAATGAAGTCTGTGATCCTCCCAGCAAGACTGGACCAGTTTGGATTTAACAGAGAGACAGATTCTTTTTATGTTACCAGCCTCTTCAAAACTGAAGCCTCATAGGGAGTTCAATTAGGTGCTTGACCTTTATTGAATATTGGTAGCACTGATGGGCATGTGATGTATATGAAGGACAAGATTTGGATGTCAAAGACAGGACAGCAGACACTAGTGCAGAGTCATTGGGAATGTCACAAACAACTGAAATCTGCAGTGTCTCTCTGGACTACAGAATTGTGACTTTCTTGGACATGGGAGAAGGAGCTCTCTGAACTACTGAGCACTGGTGTAAAGGTTGGTGTTGCTTGTATGTACTGGTTTGGCTTGCAATTTTGGCCAGCAACTGTGTATAGCAGCAAATCCATTTGAACTTTCCTATCTTTTCAGGAGTTTTGCCTCACTCTGACATTCTTTGCTCTCTGTGCTTTGAGAGAATTGCTGTGCCATAGAGAGAGGCTTCCTGGGCCCCAGGCACAACAGAAATACTGTAGTCAATGGAGCAGAGACAGAGGCTTTAGCATGTTTCTGCTTGTCACCTCTAAAACCACTCTCAAATGCCACCAAAAAAGATGTTGGCTACATGTCTTCTTTTTTCCCTGGGTCTGGGAAGGGAAACTTGCCAACACAGTCTGGAAGATTTAAACTGTAGCCCATTGATGCAGTTCTCACTCATATGATTTAAGTAAATCCCCTACTCCTGGGGTAGGGGAGTGCTAACACCACTGAAGCAATCCTGTTTTGCTCCCAAATGCTATAAAAGAGAAGGAAAGACTAGAGAATCTCTAAATGCCCAACTTGAGTATTGTGGTCTGAGGTACTCTAAAGGATTATTTCACCTGCTTATTATCCAAGTTCACCCTTGGATCATATTCACATTCATTCTTGGTTCATATTTCTTTTCTGGTGACAATGCTTGTCTGAACAATGAGCACATCTTCAAAGCCAGAACCATCATCTTGCCAGTTTATATTGGCCTCCTGAGAAAGCTGATAACCAGAGTGGACTTGGACAATCTGTACCTGTATTTCATGGATTAGGATGTGAACTAAGATCTTGCATTTGCCTGTCCTGTGTGTTTGCCGCATCATTCTTAGGGTGACAGTGTTTCGCTATATGCATGTAGCTAGCTCAGAGGATTTTGGTTTGTGTTTTTGTTTTGTGGTTGGTTGGTTTTGGTTTTTTTGTCAAAAAAGAAGAAAATGGTCAGACTTCCTTCATCTTACTGAAATTTCCTTGTATTTGCTCTCTTTCCCTTTAGGATGACAAAGGTACCCAACTGCATTAATCCTTTTGGATGCTAGAGGGAGCTCATGTTTTGAGCAGTCAGAATGAATCATGATACCTTGCACAATTCTTGAGGAAACACAGATGGAAAGTAAAGTGCTATTGATGACTATAATGCACCTTTTTCCATCACTGGCAAAATAGAAGGGCTGAATGTATCTGGTTAGGAAATTACACATGGCTTTCAGAGACGCTCAGATAATTAAATGCTGTAGCTGCAGTTTCTTCCCTATCTGAGCACCTTGCTGTTGTGACTGGATTTATCTTCCCAACTTCCTCTGAGGAAATAAATTGTCTCTCATATCCCTATGAATACACGGGAAGTGTGACACTGTGAGCACTCATGCTACTATGTGTGTGTATATACACACACAGGGATAGACACAGAGTCTGCTTTCCCTAGTCTGTTCTGTCCATTGTGCTACATAGGACAGAACTTGTGTCTTCTTAGTCACTGATTTTAAAGTAACAATTTCACTTGCTTTCACAACACTGCCCATGACCATTCAGGAGGTGAAAACATATAAAATAAAATCATTGCTTCAAAAAAGCAGAATGTGGGGAAACAACATGTTTCAGCAAGAGAGCTAACTCAACCTTGAGGCTTTTTGATCAACTGAGTCCCTTGCCGGAGTGATTTCTGAGAACATTTTAAAGTCCCATTTTCTCTAGGTCCATGCTAGAGCTTCTCTGGAATTTTCTTTAAAAGTAGATTTAAAAGTAGGAATTTTTCCTCCATCTGCCAGAAGATATTGGTCGTCTGCAGTGTATTTCAGTTTATTCTTCCCGCTTGTGTTGAAGCAAATACACCTTCACACAGAAGTCCACTTGGTCATTTTTGCAGTAATGAAATTTTGGACAGCTTTGTCCTATAGTGTTTTTCTTACTACTTGTTCTTTTAAGGGGACCAGTGTGACACTGAGGCTGTGGTCTCTTTCACATGGATCTGTGGTACTTGAGAGGTAGGGTAGGAAGGTTAGTGCTATTGTCTCTTAAAGTGGGGGCACAGAGGATAGTAGTGACCCCAGCCCATCCTGAGCTCCCCTTTTGTGGCTCTCATGGCTATCTCAATTTTGGCCTTGAGTAGTCCAAGCAAAATTCTCCAAGGCACTCAGAAGGAGGCTTGAAAACACAAGGTAACATCATGAAACATATTGACTGACTCTTTTGCCATTTCCTCGTTCTTCACTAGGGATCTGTAACAGTGCAGTTGATAGCACATTAGCAACCAGAATTTAGGGTCTTTGGAGGCTGAAATGCAGCCACACTTGAACTAGCCTAGCTTAAATACATTAGCTAAGAAAACTTTCCATAATCAGAACAAATTTTAATTTACATTACACCCATTTCATCATTCAGAGTTCTTGTCATGTGGACCTCTAATCCTAGTGAGCACCACCTCTAATCTGTTTAG